GTACACGTGGTTTTCTTTCTCATCTGCTGCCATTTCCAGGCAGAACAGAGCATTACGCACTACTGAGTGCTGAGGGGAGAGAGAGACTGAGCTGGAGCAGCTGGAGCTGTGGTCCATATTAGAACAAAAGAAATTGGATGGTACCTATGGACATTTGACATACCGACTCTCCTGTGTGACAAAGATTGTATCATTGTGTATCCCTTCTCTCCAGGTCCAATACCCACTGGAATGAATGGGAGCCAAAGACTGTTCCTTATCTTCTACCTGCTTTTTTTTAATACATCTTGTAATGTTTTTTCCCAGTTTGATTTAAAGACTGTGAAGCAAGGCTCCAATCCTTCTGCCTTGAGAAGTATTACTGGCCTGATTCTGTCTCAGGGCAAGGGGAGTTGTCTTATATACTTCCTCTCTGTAGATGTACTGGATACTTGCTTTCCTCCTCTAGCTATCACCTTGAGAGTGTTCTGTGCTTTCACCCTCTGATCTATCCATTCTTTTTCATTCTTTAGTTCCCCTTTTCCAAGGACTTCTGAAAAAAATAATTTTGTTGGAACCTGATAACGTAGCTTCTAATTTGGTAGTAAATTCTATCTCTGCAGAAGGAAGAAGATATTTTTTCTGTTTTCTGGAATATTTTTTGCGACATGTTGACATCAACAATGCATGGTTTTTTGAAGCCAGAATCTCAAGTGTGGTTTAAGAGCACAATTGCTATGGCAAAGCAAAATGTAGCTACTTTACACAGTGTTAAGTAACAGATACTGTGACTCCCATGACCTTTCAGCAAGACACATGACTATTCCTCATTTGCAAAGGAAAAACTGCTATAAATTGGAGCAATAGCACTGCAGGGGGGGCATGCCATGATCTGAAGCCTAACAGCACATTTACAGCTTAATCAGTGGTCTAGAAGGAAAAGACTTATTTTTCAGTGGTTTTGTACTTTGACTTCACTGGATGTCTACTGGAAGATGAAATCTTTTGTGGTCACTTTTGAGAAACAATTCAGCTGCTTTTGAGAAAGCAAAGAATAAATACAAAAATGATTTGGTCTGTACCTCACCTAAGGTTTTCTGTGCTTACTACTACTTGTAAGGTAAGTGTTGGTGAGGAGTTCGGTCTAATGATAGGATGTGGCAGTAGATACAAATGCTCAGGACAGTACTAATAAGTTTTTTACGAGTGGTCTAATATGGCTTATTTTACTTGCAGAAATACTCTGTATTCTTACTGATAGCATTAAATACCTAAGGGCTGTGCTATGCTCAGGAATTCATGCAGCTTAACTTGAAATGTACCCGTATCCCAACCAGATTCTGACAATCCTGTTCACATTCAGTGGCACTTTTAGGCTCAGACAGGAAGATGAAAAACATCCTTGTCATCCAATATAGTTCTTGGAAGCCTGAGAACTTGCCTTCTAAACACAACAGATACCAAAGAAAGAATACTATTCTTGGTAAAGTTAATGTCATCCATGTCACTCTACTGACAAAATAATTCCTTCTGTTGGTTCTTACTATACAGGAAAAATCTTTCAACAAAAAATAGTTCCTACTACATTTGGAGCAGAGGGATTACAGAAGCCCAGCAACCACCCGGGCTCAGCAGTTGTTCTGCTGCAATTCATACCCCAATTTTACCTGCACCAGAGGCTTGTCTCTCAGTGAGGGGATCACAGACTTGGGGATCAGAATGACCAAATCCACATTGCTTTTTAATAGGCCTCAGGCTTTTCACAGACTACCATTTACAGTATTCCCTATAGGTATACCTTATTCCCCAAGTATTAAGGATGGGGTTTTCCCATAAAACAACCTAGAAGAGGCAGAGAAAGTGAGAATGAATTCCTGAGTGTGCCACCATTTTTTACAGACCTGTGCTGTTGTGTCACACAATAGGCCCATACAAGCGGTTCAACAGAGGTCTACTATTCCAACAAACAAAAGGAGATTTTTGTGGATGTAGAAAACCTGTTTGGCTCATTTCAGAGATTAAATATTATTTAACTCACTGTTAATCCAAGATGGACTTATTTCAAGGAGCAAAAGCATGATTCTCCAGAAAAGAACTCAGAAAAAGTTTAAGTGAAATATCTGTATGAGAGACAGAACTGGACAGGGGAGGAAAACGTAGGAAAAGTGTTATTCCAGTCTAGGCTTGAATAGAAAGAATATTCAGACAGGATTTCTTCTTTCAAAAGGTAAAGGGACATGATAATCTGGGGGGCCACTAGTTGGGCAGGTTAGTACCATCTGTGGCTCAGGTTGGGGTGCAGATACATACAGCTACAGGCAGAGGAATCGCCAGCAGTGCGATAGTGATGTAGGCCGTCAGCGTGATCTCATCATTCACTCCACCCTGCAGGAAACCACAAAAGTAGATGTTGATCCCACACAGCACCACTGGTTTCTCCCTGTGCTACACATTTAAGTCCTGCAGAGACAAATTCTTCCTAGCCTCCTCATGGTAAGTCCTTCAGAAGATTCTATTGTCTTCTTTCTGATGATAGCTCACATACATAACTCCCCGTTTCGTGTCCAGCCCCCAAGTGCTAAAATAGCTCTGTTGGTCCCAGAGTGACTTATGGTCAAGTTCCAGCCTGAAAAAGCCCATGTGAAGCCAACCAGTAGACATGTTACCTTCATGGCACTGTTCAGGAGTGTCCCAGAACTGCGGAAACAGCCATTCTCCTTCTGCTTTTGAGTAAGCCAGAGCAAAGCATCCTGGATGTGCTTCTCATCTATGAAGATGTGAGGCCGGGCCTGTGCAAAGGACTTGAGGACAAAGGCTGTAAGCCTGAAAGTGACAGAGGGAACTGAGATATCCTGAGCAGGCCCTGTATCCATCAGAGGTCATAAGATCCATGTGGACAATACTGTTCTGAAGGAAAGCAGCAGAGGCTGCAGGACTTGATCACAGTGGGCTAGGTGGAAGCTGTGAGCTAGCTTAGTGACTCGGTGAGACAGGGACCAATGCTAAATGAAGTCTGCCATTCATAGCCTTGAGAGCTGCAGGTAGGTGGGCAATGGGACTCTGAGGATTCATCAGCATCTGTTAACAAGAACTAGCTAGGGCATCCTGCAGGTCACCCTCAGTTGAGCTGAAGAAGGGTGTCAGGGGAGGTAAGCAGCTATCAGTGCAGCGTTGCAAACCTAAAAGGCATCTCCCTTAGCATCCTTCCCCGCTCCGTTATCCCACATGATTATCCTATGATGTCATGATTATAATTTCATCTCCACCTTCATTTCAACCTCCACAATGACTAAGGACAACAGAAAGCTGAGGAAAGGGAGGGCATGAAAAGCCAGTGGTACTGAAGTCTTACCAGGTATTCCCAACTTGCCCATAATGGGGCCCAAAGGTGCTATAAGAACCATCCCAGTGTTTGTACTTCAATTGCCTTTGATACCCTGAAATGGAGAGTGGAAGAATATTTCAGCTGTCACAGTACTTTTTAAGGAGCCATGCAAAGGAAATGTAGCAGGCATGGGACACAGTGTCTCCCTTCTAATGGCACAAGTGCGAGTTACGCTGCCCAGTGTTACAATGGAAGTTCAGGCAAACCCGCAGCTCCAAGTATCTCCATCCTTGTGCTCTTCCTCTCTCCTAAAACACCTGGAAACTGGGTATCTGTGGTCATTGCCAGTCTCTGCCCTAGACTTGATGAGGAGAGGTAAATGTATCCCAGACTTGAAAGAAGTGGGAAAATGGTTCCCTGAGCAGAACTGAATACAAAGCTGAGCTCCACACAAGATAGGGATACAGAAAACAGGATAATTTTCATTGGAGGAAGTTCAATTTTTCTGTGAAATAACAGTAAAACCAGTCCCTTGTTGGTCAGCAGATACGCACCGTGTCCGTATGTACCAATGCTATGTCTGCCTACATGCCCTAGCTAGTGTGTTAAAATACTGGCCTAGTCAAAGGTCAGTGACACTTTCTAAATCTTAACCCTAAGGAAGGGCCAAAATCTACATGAGCAGCTGTCATGATTAGTGGTTACAGTCTGATATATGTGTTCCATATATCCCTTTTTTCACGGAGATAACTTGAGTTATTGCCAGTCCTGAACTTTTTCTATGTTCCTGTTTGGACGCTGTCCTATCTCACCCTGCACTTCCACCTAAGCACGGGATTCTCTCTTATAGATGCTGTATTATATACATCTGACCTACCACAATATCATGTTCCCTTCCAGAGAATGCACCAGGATAGCCTTCTCCAGATCATACATTCCAGTGGCCAACAATGTCCTTACCCAGTAGTCAAGGGAAAGAATGAAAAGAGAAGCAAAAGCCCTGTCCCAGCTCACCGCTCACTAAGTATCCGATGGCCTTGGATTTGACCTCCTCACTCAGTTGCCCTGTCTTGTTCAGATAGTCCAGGACATAAATGTTGGGTGCAAAAAGGACCATGTTCTGTTCTCCACAGCCGAATGGCATCTGGAGGAGCTGGTGCAGGTTCTGCATGGCAGTGCCCATCATGTCACCTGGGAACAGGACAATTTCCAGTGTAAATTAGTACAGTTCAGGGCTTGCCAGTAGACTGAGCACAGCCTGAAGAAACATGGCAGTACTTCAAAATAGCATGTGACACTTCAAGAATGCTTCACTTACCTAGCACTGAGAAATATGCTCTGGCTGAGCCATCTATCACAGTTTCTGGGAGAACCAGGGAGACTGACTCTGACATTGACTTTTCTGGGACAAAAACCAGATCAAATTGGTTACAATTCCATATATATATATATATATATATATATACACATACATGGGTAGCAGCCAAGAAGGTGAGATACCATATCCTGCACAGATGTTTCCTGCCTTCCTGCCTTCAATAAATTCATTCATCTGTAATTTTGTTGTGGAAGATTCCCATCCTGCAGATTTTGTGTTGGGCCTCCAATACCCTCACACACAATCAGTTATGGACTTCTACACAGCACTATCAGCTGGCCTTGACTGACAAATATACTTGCCAGCCTATTTTTCTGGTCTCTTCTGCTTTGCTGGGCAGATCTGTCTTATTGCAGAGTCTGGTTTGTGATTTTACACCTATTAAATTAAACACATCAGAGATAACCCTATTAAATCCCAGATACTCTCCCTACAGGGACCTGGCCAGCCTCAGTTCTTAAGATATATGCTTCTGGCTTTGTAATTGCAGGGGCTATTACAGCCTCAGCTTTTCTCCTTTAGAAAGAATTAGTTTTACTACCAGTTGGACATACATCTAGTTTGTTCAATTTTATCAGATCCCTACAACTTTCTTCTCAGGGTGGGCCATTCAGAAACCTTGTCTTCTCCCTTTGTCTTTTAGTCTCTACCTCAGCAAAGAAAGTCTTAGAAACCAAAAGGCTCTTACCAGATGCACAGAGCACAGAGCTGTAGCTAGTTTCCACCTCAGTTCCTTCCGGCTTGGGAAAAAGGCAAGAAGAAAAAGCAAAAAATGAGAAACAACAACAACAATCAAAAAAAAAAAAGATCAAGATGGAAACTAAAAGGGACTCCAAGAAAATTAAATACTTATAAATTCTCCTGTGGTAATAACTTAATTATACTGAAAAGTCTTTAGACATTTCTTACAAAGTTTTTTCCTCCATGTGCTAAAATGATGATAATTGAGAACTGTAACACACTGGTAAATTACAAGCATGAAATTTAATATATGATCTTTATTATTACCGAGAGAGGCCCTGCAGCTTCACAGGTTATGTTGCAGGTAACATGCAAGATGGTGTTACCAACAGTGCTAACAGAGCCACAGGGCTCTCTCTTCCAGGGTGCTGCCCACCTTGACCCAGTCTAGCAGAACTCTTTGGATGTGATGACGGCTGAGTGCCTGGGACACTGGTAGGATATGTATGCAAGAACTTTGACAGGTGGCAACTAGAACACTCCTACGCACCCACAAGTGACACGTTACAACACCCAAAATTTAAATACATGCTATAGTCAACTGGTGACAGTATCTCTCTGTTTAAAAAGCTTCTGGCTTGATTTTTCAAGTCAGAAAAGAAGTCCTGGTTTCTGTTGAGCTGGTTGAAAACATTTTGCATAAAACTCAGGAATCAAATATTACTAGAAAAAATATTTGGTCAGAGTTTATTTCAGTGAGATCCCAGCATCAATTTTTTTAACCTCCAAATAGGAGAGTTCCCATTGCTTCATTACTGGTTCCCAGCTTTTGTCACCTGAATTTTTTTTCAAGCATGTAAACAATGATATTACCTTCACTTTCCCACACAGTTAAAATATATTGTCTCTCATTCTTCAGTATGAAAAGACATTGAAAGATTAAAAGAGCAGGGAAAAAAAAGAAAATAGGAAAATCTTTTAGGATAAATTATGACAGAGCTAAATGTTTCTGTTTCAAAAAGGCACCTTCTTGTTTGTTTCAGTATGTCATCTGAAATGCAACTAAATGAGAAATCCATTGTTTTGCTTGATTGTGAACATTTCAACAGGAAATTAAAACACACAAACTAGCTGTCTGAAAGATTTTCCTTCCCAGCTGAGAAATTCCTGGGTGAAAAAACATCCTGTTTCCCAACTAGCTCTCAGAAAGACTTGGCTTCCTGAGGGGCAAGAGGACACCCCAGGGGCTCTGGCACACTCCCTTCTCTCTCCCCAGGATGCACTGCCTGCTTCAGGATATGTTGACATCCATATTTGGGACAATGCAGCTCCACCTCAAGCAAGTTACACTGTATCCACCCCTGCTAATTAATTGTTCAGCCTTGGATGCTAATCACTGATTCTATCCAGTCAGGGCTTGCTGTAAATTAATCACCTCATTACAATAACAGGATAAAACCAGTAATCTCTAAGACACCCTGTAAGAAGCTCATTCAGTTATTTTCACTCCCCCACCATCTGGCAGAAAAGACTTTAAAGTTCTGATCTTCCAGTATCTTCAAAGAACAAAATAAAGACTCCTTTTCCTGAAGACATGTATGAAATTAGGAGGTTTTCCTGAAATGTTAAACAGTTATTTGTGCCCTGATACATGAAATGCACTGTACATTCAAATTAATTTGTACATAACTGAAATTTAAAAAAAAAAAACCCAACAAAAAACCGAAGCCTAACAGATAGGATTGTTGTTCCATCATTACATTCAGGTTAGCAAAACATTTTCTGAAGTCACATATTACATGAATTCTAGCTCTGTCACACTCAAAATGGGAATGTCTGCAATGTAAGGAGGATTTGCAATGTTATACATTACTCCTAACTTAATTTTGTTAAATACAAAAAAAATTAAATACTAAATTCCTTCCTGTCATGCATAGGATTGACAATATTATGACATGTGATATTACATAGATTTTGCTATACAACAAGCTAGTACTCTTTGTTTGCTAGTAATATCATAGGGAGTCTGTGGATTTTATGACTGGCTATTTATCATGGGAAAAGCTGTGGTTTTATCATTGCAAAACACTGCTCAAAAAATGTACAAAAGAATGCAAAAAAAAAAACAAAACATCATACTGTTTTAACTCTTAAAAGTATAATAAAACCAATTTGAAACAGTGACAGTAATTTTCTCAGAAAATATTTGTAGATTGTGGTGACTGTTCCAGAGTACTGGCTATGTGCTGGAGGAAATGCATAAGGTTTCTGGGAAGTCTTCCATTTGCAACCTATCGTTGTGATTTATTATAGGTAAACCCAAGGAGTTCTCATTTATCTCCCCGATGATGTGTCTGGGACAAACCTGTCATTATTGCCTGCCTTATTATTTCTGTCCCACTATGTCATGTAATACTCTGTTTTTACTATGAGATGGCAACATGATGAGTTATGGGCTCTGTTGGCCTGTGTGACATTTATCAATGCTTCTCTTATAAAAGCATGCAGAATAAGAGTCACTTAGGCCATTATTGCTGCCATCATAGCTAGAACAGGAGACCTTTATCATACAGCAACTGTTGCTGTGGAGCATGGAATTATTATTACTTTTCTGTGCCACCAAATTCAACAGCCCACATACCTCCACCAGCAGCTGTCTGACGACTGTGTCTTTCCTCCCTTTCTCAGGGGTCTCCACAATGGCATTCCCACAGGGCTGTTGGTTCTGCAGGGCCTCAGTGCTCACTGAGAACTCCACCTGCCCTGGAGGAAACAGGGGTCAGCCAGACCTGCTGGGTAGTGCCAGGGAAATGTGGGTTTGTGTTTGTGCTGGCCACACTCTGGTGTGTTTCAGAGCTTTTCCAAGAGGACAACTAAACTTGAGACTGTGTTTTATCTTGATCTTCCAGGCCAAGGATCATGCCATCCAGGCCTTCCCTCATGATGGCCACCCAAGCAGGTGTTAGTCCATCAGCAAGAAGAGTAGTGGAGGGGCAGGTCTTGTAAATCAAACAGTCTTGTTCTGGGACGCTTCAGAGAAAGCAAGCTTTGATTAAAATATTTCAGACCCAGCCACATTAAGGTAAGACATTCTCAACTCTACAAATGGGATGTCTGAGTGCTTTGCATGCATTAAGGGAGTTGGTGATTTCTATTCAAATGTTAAGAAAATAATGGCCCATAACAATTAAATAGTTTGTTTAGGACCTGGAAACTGAATCCCAGCGTAGTGTCTGAACCTCAGGGTTGGACTTCTCATTTCTGGCTTAGACAAGACCCTTACAGACAGGATTGGTGTCATCTAGCTCCTCACACCAAAGATCTGATGTCATCCACAGATACCTGATCCCAGCATTTTCTTGTCTGGCCTCCTACCTAGAGATCTTGGTGTTACTGCCCAAGTCACAGTTTTCCTTTCATTCATGCAGATGCAGTAGGATTCTTCCTGCTTCTCTACTGGTGTAGCCAGGAAATGAGTAGATTCCGCCAGAGACACGCTGACCTGCCGGTTGTACAGAGAGATGTCATGAAGGTTGGAATTGCAGAGAAGCTGGGGTTACTGGAGACAGTGAAGTACACGGAAATGATTAGTGGAGCTGGTTATACTGTGGGACTGAGAACCTGATGGATATTGCAGAGCAAGAACTGCATGATAAAATAGGAGAAGACAGAGATGTGTACAATTGTAAGAGATTGGGGAGGTAAGTGTGGAGAACAGGACGTGTATCTTTGGAAAGGAAATCAATTCCGGGAAAACGGAGAGCATGGACCAGTTGTGTGAGTAAAGGCAAAGCAATGATTACAAACTTAGTCATGAATTAAAGACCTCCTCATGATTAGTTAGATGAAGAGGTAAAACAGCAGCAGTGGGAAAGTTAATAAGGGAACAAGAGGGAGTGGAATAAGGTAGCTGAAAATAGTGAACAAAACAGGAAAGACAGGGAAATAAATGAGAGTGCATTGGAATGGCTGCATCAGTGCCCCTCCTTGTTTCAGCTTCTTTCCTTTTAGAATAAAAATCTGTTATTTATAAAAAACTGAGCAAAAGTGGTTGAGATTTTGTTCGAATCACCTCTTAAATTCTCTCTTGTCTTTTTGGTTGGTGAAAGAACGCAGCTAAGAATAGTGAAGCTATATAGCTCTGCTCAGTATCTTAAGGGCAGATGCAATAAATAAATCACAGAAAGCCTGCATATTCCATCAAATGTGTTGTGATACTTTGTGAGATGTTTATATGAGATGAGACTAAAAGTTGAACACGGGTATCTACCCTGGTGAATTTGGAATTTCCATGTGGGCATGCAATGATGTGGCCTGTGGATAACCCAAGTTTCCTATTTCTACAGGACAATGACATAAATCTGTGATTGCAAGGCCAGGGGCCTCAGCAGCAGAGCTTTAGGTTCTGAATCAAACACAGCTTTCAAAACTTTGTTGGAAAATCGTATTCCCTCTTCATTAAATACACCAAGAATTCCTACATATATACACTTATATGAAATTAAAATCAGAGATCAGTCATCTGGCTTGGGAAATCATATTGTAACTGGCCCATTGTAGCCTTCCCTAAACTGTCAGACTGAGCAATGTTGTGAGTGTTTCTTACCCTAATGCAGGCAGTCAGGTAGTTGAAAACGGTGGCTTTCAGTGTGAAGGACTCACCACGCACCACAGAGTAGGGCATGGTGAGCTCTACGAAGAAGGGCTGGAAGGCTCTGAGGGACACTGTTGTGGACAAACCGAAGCCCGCGTCTGCCGAAGTGCAGAATGCGTTGGCTTTCCACTCGGTGATGGTGTCAGGGATGGTCACATCTAGATCAGCATTTCCCTCAGAGCTGGCAGGGGACAGAGAACAAGATCTCAGCTATATTCTGGTGATCATCTATGTTTTTCTCAGCCTACTGAACAACACTTGCTGACAGCAAAGTCCTGACAAGCTGAGATACGGGCACTGGCTTTTGCATGTCCTCCCAAAGAATTCTATACTTAGTAACCTTGAAAAATCCCTCTGTCTACTAGAAATACCCCTCTTACTGAAATACTGATACTTCCATTGAGGCCTAAATAACTTCCAAGGTTTTGCCCCAGTGACCACACTCACTTACTTCACTGAAACTATGTCCCAGATCCACGTCTCAGGGAAGTACTTCCGGATGGTCTCCACAGGATTACCAGCAACCATATGTTCCATTATTTCATCATCAAAATCTTCAATCAAATTCAATGCAGTGACTAAAAATTTGTTCAAGGACAGGAAGAAAGGAAAAGACATGTCAAATTCCATTCTAAATCGGGAGGATACTTTCCTTGCAGGTAGTGGTTATACTTAGCTAAAGTTTTAAAACTGAAAACCAGCTTTGAAACCTTGGCCACTGGAAACAAATGTATTTCTCTGTGTCATCTCAATATTTCATTTTTCCTCATGTTGCTGCTCTTCTTACAGGATTACATGGGGCTGAGCGTTCTTCCCCCACTGTCAGCAAACCCAGCAGTGCCAAAAGAGCTATTTATGATTGTGTTATTGAAGGTACATTTCTATTGCAATACACAGTCAAATGCGGAACTTACTGCCTCCAGATATTACAATTGCACAGTGCTGATTAAATTTTGTTGAAGAATTGATTGTGTTTATACATGACGAGAAACAGAAGCTACACTTAGCCCTCTATCTAAGAGTCTTTTGAGATGAATATGGGTTTTTACATTTCTTGTCATTAGCAAATAAATTATTCCAGAACAGGGCCATGCTTTCTCAAAACGTTGCATAGTGTTGTGCCTTATGAAAGACTTTCCATCAGCCTTAGAAGACTTTCCCTCTTCTCAAAGCAACCAGCTGTCTCAGGCCATGCTCTGAAAACAAATCCTGCATTTCAGAACCAAAGATCTGATCTGTTATAAATAAAAGCCTAGAAGCTATGACCAGCTATCAATTTTTAATAGGAGCTGGGATAGTGTACCAGAAATGTCACTGACAGGAAGTGATATAGGTGAGAGTGTTTTATATAGCCTTTCTAATCTAAGAACTACTCAGAAAAAAAGAAAGAAATGACATTATTCTATCTTTACAGTTACTAAAGCTGCAGAAAACTGATGTGACCTACCCAGACCCTTATAGTCATGTGAGTGGGAGAGCTGGGAACAGAACCAAATTTCTCAGTCCCCAGTGGTAAAATATCTACCCATAGAACTGCACCACCTTTTCATTTGTCTTGGCCCACTTTTGCCCTAGTTTTTCCTTTAGTTATTGCTAGAATATGCTACCTAGAAGTAAAGACTCCTTTTTTATTTTCCATAGCTGGACTCAGATCTGATGAAAAAAAGCCACTACTTTGTGCTGTTAGACTAGTGTAGTGCCTACAGGATCCCATGCTGTAGGGGCTGAGCACACACCGTTCTAGCTGGGAACATCCGTCTAGCCGGGTATAAGCAGGCAGAGGTGGATCAGTTTGATATTGCAGGACTGAGTGCAGAAGGGAGTGATCCTGAATCAGATCAGCCTAACTTAACAGAAGCTGATCTGCCTGGTGTAATTATTATGCAAAGAAGTAGAGGGAAGGAAAGAAGCAAGTTGGTAAATTTTAGGTATTTGTGTGGGAGGTAATACGAAGGAGGTAACAGAACCACTGTAACTCCTTTCCATCATGAGTCCTGGGTAACGTTGGCAGATTTCAGGCTTGTGGATCTTGCTGCTAGTGAAGACTTTTAAGCCCAATTCCTAGTAAACAAAGAGAAAGAAGAACAAAATTATGCAAACACATTTTTGAAAAGAAACTATTTTCAGTATGTCAAGAATAAGCTGCACCAGGGGAGGTTCAGGCTGGATATTAGGAAGAATTTCTTTACTGAAAGGGTTGTCAGGCATTGGAACAGCCTGCCCAGGGAGGTAGTGGAGTCACCATCCCTGGAGGTGTTTAAGAGATGGGTAGATGTTGTTGGGACATGGTTTAGTGATGTTAATAGAGCTAGGACAAAGGTTGGACTCAATGGTCTTGAAGGTCTCTTCCAACTGAAACCACCCTATGATTCCGTGATTCTAATAGGCATACTTAAGTCTGGTATCAATCAGAAAAACAAAGGCTTGTATATAAATGCCAGATAGACTAGTTCAACACAGCTGTTGAGGCTTTATCATGTTACACTCATCCCAAGGCTAAATCATGGCATGATCAGATGGAAAGCTAAGTCTACCTTGGGGACATCTGACTGGGTGAAAATGACATGTGTGAAAAGCATTGGATTGAGGGTACCCAAAAAGTCTTGTGCAGGATTCTTTAGATGGGTATAGGTGGGTTTGTGGGTTATCAAAGTGACTGGCACTTTATTAAAGACCTATCTAGACCAGACAGAGAACATGCATGACTGAAGAAAAGTTTCTAATATCATGGCACCAGAGGTAACTTCTTAGGACTGTTTCCTTTGCATGTGTCTCTACTAGCAATGAGGAGACCTTTCAAAGTTTTCATGGTCCAAAGAAGCACTCAGGTACCAATGATGGGCTACATAGATGCAGGGCCTGGGCCTGGTTATTGTCCTGCATACAAAAGTTAGCAAGATCACAGCAAAGTTCATTAAAAAGTCTTTCAGGACAAGTGAGAAAAGGAGAGCAGACTGAATTCCAAAAAGGAATAACAAAGCAAAATGAAAGGCTGATGCTTACTTTGAAAATGTCATAGGCATCACCTTCTCCGTCAGGAGAAATGGGTGTATAGACAAATCCATTTAGTAATATGTTGTCAAGGGACACACAAGGGTTTACATTGTCTTCTTCCAGGTAGTAGTCCTTGAAACCATAACCCCGGATTTCCTTCAGTGGGAGAAGATCATACAGCTGGGGAAATGCAAACAACCAGGGAAACACGTGGCAGGTCAGCACTTACAGGGACACAAACGCTACCCAACATTCCACTGATAAAAGCCAGCTTCTAAAAAACATGTGTAGTGAATGCAATGATAAAAATACACGACCCCATGTCTATAGTGGTGTTAATAGGTACTTGGTTGGTTCTTGTATTTGCTCATTACTAGAAATAGCCAAGACTTACAGATCTGGGAGAGAGCTCATCTTCAGGCTTCGTAAGGAGGACGCTCTTGTCCACAGCACGGAGGGCACACAGGGACCTTGGTGAGGTATGGAGTTGCAGGTGTGTGTTGGAGGCAGGAAGACCTTCCTTGGGTGCAAAACTCAATCTGACCTGCAACCCCAAGCAGAAGTTAAAGCAGCCACTTTTTCCAGATGCTATTACATGCTATTATACTGAAGTATCTAGCCTTGTGAACAGAGCTCTGCTAGTGCCTTGCAGTTCTTCTAATATATATTCAGTTTTAATTAATAATGACCAGTGATTCTCTTTCTTATTCTGTCTTGCTCCACTTTTTATAATCATGGCTTTGTAACTTATTCTGGAGTTTGTCACTAATCCTCAGTCAACATCTGATCAGACCATTTTATGAGTCCTTTGTGAATTTTGCCTCCATTCTGGAACTCATAACTGAACTACTGGCGACAAGACAAACATGGGTTGCACAAACCCTGACTTATACTCACTTTATTGGGGAGACAACTTTCAACCTGGAAATCTGCTGAACTGGCGATGACTTCCCCTCTGGGTGAAGTGGTGTACACAAGCATCCGTGCCAGGGGAGCAATTGCCACCTCAACAGGGAAGGACAACTGAAATGTCCCATAAGCTAATAGAGAGAAAAAAGACTAAGCAACATACAAGAAGTTCCAGTATATGCATTTGCCTTCCCCAGATAAAAAAAGTCAAGTTCAGTCATGTTGAGCATTTTTAGTTAGCAGGGGAAGGAATACTGATACACGACTGGAGTTTATGGCTATTGTTGAAGACGTCTGCATTCAAACAGTGATTGTGCAATAGCCAAATGAGATGAGTTTGGTGGGCCTCAACATGCCTTCTAGATTTTCCCCAGTTAACATCTGGCATAATTTCTTGATGTTCCCAACCCCTTTTTTCCTCAAGCTCCAAGATCTTCTGTAGTCTACAAAATATAGATGAGGGAAAAAATGTAGAAATAAGGAACTCTTGTAACAGGTGGCAGCAGTCAAGGTTGCAAAGTGGCTGAAAGAATAACTTTGTGAAGTCACTGCTAAGCAAGCATTTATCTGGAGCACCGAACTATTTCTCCAACCACAGTGGAAAATGCCCCTCTGTGTTGAAAGACTCTTTCTAGCTGGGCCTGAGCTTCATCACAATCTGGACAAGGTGATAGAACACCTCTTGATATCAGCCAGGGTGTTAGTTTAATCACTCCTGCTAGTGAGGATGCAGAACTTTCTATGAACACGCGTCACCCAAGATCTTTTACTGCCATATACTGTTTATACCCACTGCAGTGGAACTCCTTCTAATAGACTTTCAAAATGTCTCTCTGGTCTCATTGTTGAAAGGCTTTTAAAGATGCTTCATAGCCAGTCTCAGTTACTGAAATGTGTAACCCTTGGACATTTATATGAACAAAATGAAATTTGTTGGTTAGAATATAGGTATGTGTGTGTTTCCATGCTTGTAAGGGAGAAACAATACCCAAAAAATGGAGGAAAGTGAGAAAGAGAAAGAAGAGAGGACATACTCTTCTTCCTGCTTGTTGTACATGTGAGTCTCACAACACTGGTAAGCATCTGCTATCTGAAGAGGGTAGAGTGGTCAGCAAAAAGTGTTAGTTTGAGGAGAAAATGAACAAAACATTATGCATATTTTTTGTTGAATTTTTCTAAAATATTCTTGTCAGAAAAATAGCACCTGACAGAATTCAGAGAAAATAAAACTAACCAAAATCAATTCATTTAAAAAGATTTAATTTTGAAAATGCATTTCCGTTCCAACATTTAATGTTTGGATCGAAATAATTTCTCTACATCCCCCTCTGGCCCCAAATTATCATCAGAGACAATAAAAATGCATAGTTCTGCTCACCATCTCCAGTATTGACAGTCAGATCATGGGTGTCTGCTAATATAATGTCTCCCTTGGCCATCACCTGTGTGACAGAGAAACCTTGCTGTAATTGTTGCTGCCAGTCTTGAAGTGAAGGAGAATGAACGTTCACTGGGTTAACTGTAGAGTGTGAGTATGAATAACCCTGCTGACTGAGCAAAATCAAGACAATACTAAGCAAGAGCCAGACTGGAATTTACTGGGTCTTTGGAAACAGAAACATTCACTCCTAGGAGGACCAATGTTTCCTCACTGGTCAGATCTGGCTTAATTTTTGTCCATATTGCATATACAGATCAGATTCAAATGCACTTTGCCTCTAAGCACACATAAGTTTGGGGGTCATATGCACATTTTTAACAGTTTGGAACAGACTGAGGAACAAAAGTTCTCCTCATTCCACTTTCAGTTACATTGTGAAACAGTCTGGAGAAAAAATTAATCAGGATTAGTTTCATAACTCACACGGAGTTGGAACAGAAGAGCACAGGCTGTAAATAGTAAGAGCTTGAAAAAGGTACCTGAAGTCAGGCATAAGTAACAGCCTGAACGCCACCTGTAATTTCCTCATTTCTAGAAAAAGTTCCTTTTTCACATTAAAAAATGCCTTTTATACAATTACTTTCCATATAGGATAGCTATTCCATAGCACCATAGGGAGCCACACCTATAGAAATATAAGTCCCCTCACTGTTTGGTTACCTACGGTATGTATATTCTTAAGACCATCTTTCCCAGGCTACTGGAATAAATAGGAATCTTGTGCTTCAGTTTATTGCTAGCAGCCTTGAAAATAAGCACATAGACATCCCTAACACAGGTTCTATTCTCTTCTTTGTAATCTCACTCTAAGTCCCCCCGATGTTCTGTACAGTCCTTCAGAACAAGCTGGCTTCTTCTAGCTCTCCAAGGCTACTCTCATCTCTTCTGCTAGTGTCATTAAATGGGATAACCAGAAAACCAAATCTAGGGAAAAGTTTGAGCATTCATCTGATTCTTCCTGTTCTCCCAAGCAAAGCTGACAGATCATTGTTCGGTCACAGTTGAATTAATCTTCTGTGCCCTCCAAAATGAACCAATTCATGGTTCTCAATGCCAGCGTGTTATAGTCTGTTCCAATTGGGGTAGTATCCCAAACTTTCTGTCATTGCTGATATACAACCTAAGCTATAAGCTTATTGGGCTTTTCTGGTACTGTAGTTAGAGGTGTTGCTTTAGTTTCAGTGGTCAGATGACTACCAAAGGACAAAATTGAGTAGGAGACAACTTTCCTCCTCATCTTTCATCTTCTTGTTGTAGGGTGTTGCTTTCTGAGCTATGAGCATATATGAACCCGAATTTGGAATGGGGGAAGTTGGGAGTGGAGTATTATGAAATGAGAGTCTTGGATGGCTGTTCCATCAACATTTTGTCTCTCTTCTGTTCTTAATAAAATATATACACCCTACCCGTGTCTGCACATACAAGCCAACATGAGAAACATTACGGAAATGTGTTTAAATCCCACTGCCAGAGGCCACACTTTCTGTTTCAAACTTTCTCTGTTATTACTGGCTAGGGACTGACTATATAGCAGTCCTGTGACTGCTCATCATGGAATGTAGCTATATGTGCCACAGTGTTCTTTGTGTCCATAGATCAAAGTAACCACAAATAATGCTTACCAGATAGTAAATGACAATTTTCTTCTGCTCTCCTGTGGCCTCTGGTGTGAAGATATAGTGCACCTGGATCTCTGTGGAGAAGCCACAACTTAATGTGTCAGGCTTTGGCTCAATCTTGAGGAAGCTCTTACTGGGGGAGTAAAATCGACTTATTCTATGCATGGCATGCTCATATGAAGGTGTGATCCAGTCACTGTCATAACAGTTCAGTTCAGGTTTATGATAAGCCTGATAAAGAAGAACAAAAAGTTCATAGCTGACCAAAACCATGTAACACATCACATGAAAGTCCACAGAAAATCTCCAGGTCTGTTCTGTATTTCCCATTCTTAGAAGAAGGTAGAGAACATGCACAGGAGACACAAAGAAGAGAGGTGACCTGCCAAGAAACTTGCTTTATCTTTCAGTTGGCAGAAAAAACAATAACCCATGGATAGATACTTCCCCTGTTGATCAGAGAGACAAAGGTTTACCCTAGTCCCTTTGCCCTGTCTCTGCCACTCACTCGGATTTCCAGGGAGGCTTCTGTGAAGGTGGTAGTGTCTATGGAAAACCAGGATTGTCCCTGCTCATCTGTAGTGTAATTCCCACTGTATCTGTCTCCATCCACAGAAATCGTGATGGTTTCATTGGCAATTGGAGCACCAGTGCCATCTACCAGCTTCACCTAACAGAGAAAAAATAGGTTTCAGACTTGAAATCGAAAACAATTCCTAAGTCCTAAACCCCATTCCCTCTTTTCCTCCTTGCCAGGCAGGAGGTTTCTTTATGGAGAATGACAAAAGACATGAATGTGGAAATGTGTGAGATGAGTCCTGAGTTGTCTGAGGCAGCAACTGAGAAAATTCTCAGCAAAATAATCTGATTGGCCCAGGGAAATTATCTGACAGGGCCTTAAATTCCTCAGTAAGTTTTAATTCCCCTGGCCAGCCTCATTTCGGACCTTCACCAGGTATCATCAACCTCTTGGTCCATGAACTCTAAGTTCAGGCTTATGCCTTGCCCCGGTCCTTGATTAAAGCTATATTGGAGGTAGACCTTCACTCAGCTCTTTCTCCTGCTGCTCCCATCTGGTTAACTGGACTTCATTGGTTGAGCTCAGCCCTGACTCATCTTCTGACATTGTCTGGTGGTCATGAGACTGTTGATGGAACCTGTTACTGTCACCACTCCTTCTCTATTCAGTCTGGTTGGGTACTGTGGGACTGTGCCCTTGTTGATGAGGTCACCACACCTACCTGTGTTGTGGTCACCTTTTGTACCTGGATAATGTTCCCTTGTGGAATAGCCCATGCTTAATGCTCCTCAATGTTATTCTCATGTGTCAGAACAAGGGGCCTTCTATTCTGTACTGGGGTGACTGCCAGGAAGTTCAGAGCCATGTGTCTATTAGAGTGCCTCAACTGTCAGTAATTCATCTGGCTGTGCGAAGGCAGAGGAAGGTGGACCATGTCATCTGCTATTCAACCTGATGGGATTATGCACTTGTGAGTTTGCTATGCCATTCACTGTCCAGGGTCTCAGAAGTCCCCTACCCTCCCAAAGAGTGGGATCCCTGGTCTGTACTGAGAGTCCAGCAGGTCAAAGCTGATTTTGCTCATGATGGATGTGATTCCACAGGAGCCTGTTCCAGTCATCTCTATTCCTGAGAAAGAGTACAGCAAGGAGGGATTATTAATGACTAGCAGCATTTCTAGATATGTTATTCCACCTCTCATCTTTGCCAGGACCTCCTGTTGTGGCCTGCTATTACTTTGTCTTCTCCGTTTGATACATACCTGTGCCATCTTCTGTGATCTTGCCTTGTACCTCAATGCTCATCTCATATCCCCTGCGCTGGAGCTGAAATATCTTGGTCCTTACTACACCAGAAACACACCCACGAGCGTCTGCCTAAGCACGGGATTAGAGAGAAAATTGGAATTCTATGACAATTTTGAGGTCTTGTGGGACAGGAACAGATACCCCAAACCTAACGTGCTTAACTTCTGTTCATGAAATCCCAGCCTTACATTCTAGGATTGTCACCAAGACCAGGACTTGTTCATAGCCTGTTTCCTAGTGTTTCATCCACATGTTTTCTGTGTTCTGTGAGGTATTTGACACTCAGTTCTCCAAGGCACACACTGGTTTCCTTGTTAACTCCCTCCTATCTTACTTCCGGTTTTCCTCCTGTTTATTCTGTTGTCTTCATTCTCTTCTTTGTTGCCCTTTCTCCCTTCTCCTGTGTTTGACCCATATACAATACCGCCTTCTCGTTTTCTCCTCATCTTCTTTGCTCTCTGCCAGTCCCTCCCACAGTCACAAAATAATTTCAGAGATTCTTTTCTCAGTTTGGGGATCACAGTTGCTAACTGAAGATTTGTCACTAGTTTCAATGAATTCAGGGTTTCAGTTCTGTTTCCAGTTTAATGACTCTCTTCTTAAGAATGTCGTCCTCTCCTTTTCACTAGACAGAGTGCTATCTCTGATGTCCTACTGTCTCCCAACAGTCACAGGTTTGGCCTCCCTTAGATAACATTGCGCATTACCCATAAGAAAGACCTCTATATTTTAATCTTGGGACTCACCTGCCTAGTGAATTCTTCGCACACAGCTTCTGCTTCTTTCCCATAACAATTTGAAGTGGAATGGGAAAACTTACGGCACACTTGGACATTCACCAAACCAGGTACAGGTTTCCCATAAGTGTACCTATAATCACAAAGTGTTGAACAATGTATTAGATGATGAGACAATCACTCAGTCACACTCAGAAACATCTCCTTAAAGACCTCTGTGGATGACTTCCTAATATTTCTTCTTAAATGCTGACTAATCTGATATTCTAATGGTTCTAATGATTACATTTCCATCATTTCCGTGGTGAGATTCTTCCATCATCCATCAGAATCTCTTCTAGGTGGGATCTTTCTGCAGGAATGTAGAAAAAGATTGTCTGTAGAAAATTATTTCAGCCAAGAGTATCCTTGTACCGCAAACAGCTGAGGGATCAGTGAAGAAGTAGAAAGGTAACCAGAGGCTCAGAAGGAGCAATTTATGAGTTAAAAATGAGAACACTGGGTTTGCACCACCTGTTTAAGTGATATCTGATCTGACATCTCTGAGTATTTGAGTGTTCAGGATCGGCAGAGAAGATTTAACTGAAGAAATGTAAAGACAGAAAGGGAAAATGTACAGCAAACTGTGAGGAGAGAGCTGCAAATTCATTTGACATCACCTTTTAAGGAACATAGAGAAGATCCTTCACTGACTTTTCAAGCCAAGTAGCAGGCTCAGGATTGACAGGCTGGAACAAGCCTACACTAGATGTCTGGGAAATGTACGAAAAGCCTTCCCCACCTCTTCTTTTGGTCCTCAGCAGAAAGGGGGAATGAAGGATGAGCAAGAGAGATTTACTCCAGCTCTGTGACTCACAGACCACAGACGGACACTGGAAGCTCCTTGTCCTTAATAGTGATCATCTTGGGCAGCTTCACCAGGACCTCGTACTTGGGCAACACTAAATGGGAGACAGAAAGTCTGATATGAGAAGAGTGAAGGAGAGCTGTGTACTACATAATAACCCAAACACTGAGCCAGGATCATCTTAATATCGCCTCTCTGTGGTCTTCTGTACAGCTCTGCTACCCCTTCCCTAGGTTTTCTCAGCCTTCACCACTGTTTGGGTCTAAAGTGAATTAAGGAGGGTTGTAGCCCTTACCTTCCCTGATTTGCAGCACATGCTCATGTGATCCCATTGGCACCAGACAGTTGTGTAGGGTACATATGCCCATTCATAAGGACATACTGTTCCTGTGTGTTGTGTTCCACGTTTCACAATGCATAATTTGCAACTAAGTCTTGGAGCAGCACATTCACCACCTTTGTAATTTACCACATTGAAATGGCTTGAATCATTGATTCTCTTGGCTGTTTCTTAGTGTTCTGGAGATCCCAGGTTGTTGTTACACTCACTAATATGTAGCATGTGAAATGGTCCTGCATGTCCAGACAGTTCTGGTGAATCTAACCAGACTCTCAGGTCTACATTTTCAACAATATAGAAACAAGGCAGCAACAAAACCCGATATAAAAGGTTGCAAGTAAAAGGCATATTTTGCTCCTGAGTATTAAGTTACATCCATTTTCCTATATTGAATTCTGCAACCATAAGCCCCCAATTACTCAAGCCCAGGACTGGACTGAAGAATGTAATGGCCTGCTTCCAGGCAGTGAACTTGAGATTTTTTTCACGGTGCAAGGAAATAAGAACAGGGAGGGTGTACACCCAGACCCAGGAACTGAAAAGCAACCCTCGGTTATAGAGTTTAGACATAAATTTGCCTGTAGGATGGGGGGCAAAACTCAGCATTTCAACCCCAGGGCACATTTCCTCAAAAGGCTGTAAGAGGACTAGCAACAGAGGAGATTAATGGGAATAAGACTAAAGAACAAATAAAAGAAAAATTAGTTTAGTGTGAGGCTAAGAGAGCGATATACATCTTTGATTTTGGGGGATATTCAGAATGACCTTTGTGGAAGGAAAGACAGCCCATCCATGACCATGGCAGGCTGAAGCTTGTAACCTGTTTTGTGTTAAAATTATTCGCCATGTTCATACTAGACACTGTGCCTGACTTAGAACTGAATAAGCCAGCTCCTGCTGACTTCAGTGACAATCTTCTTTGGGTCGCACCCTGCATATTCCAGAAACAGCAGATTCTGAGCAATGCATTGGGTTGTTCAGGCTCCATGTACAGCCAGCGGAAGCATGGGAGTGTGGAGCACGGACAAGAAGCCTCCTCAAATGCATACAGCCTAGCCAGAGTACATGTCTACAAAGACCTGTTAAGCTTTATTACAGAACCAGGGCTTAGAGTGCTCCCTGTGGCAGCACACTTCTGCTTACTCAGTCTCTACTACCAAACGGTTTTCATCTGCTTGTAACATTTGTGGAGCGTCTTTCTGCATACTGAAATTTTCTACCAAACACGTTTTCTAAGCTTTTGCAGAAATGAGGAAGAAGAGGAAAACCAGAGAGGACTAGAAATGGAGAAACAAGTGATCCCGATGATGAGAGGGGCAAAACAGGGTCACCAAAATATTGTCATCTCTTACTCAATATCTAGTGCTACTTGCAACAAGGCTTCTGGACTGAAAAGTGACTAAAAGTCAGCTGAAATTAGTGCCACAAGCCATGCACAGGAAGCCCGTCAGACCCTGTACTCACAAGAGCACTAAGAGCAAATACAAGCTCAGGCAGGTTGCAGAGATGCCTTAAAGCGAGCAACAACTTTTGATTCTTGGCACCTTCTGGGTCAGCCTCTCTGAATCCCATTGCCTATGTATTCAGTGCCTCCCTTCTCTATGCCATTCCCAGTAGATCCCAAACTGAGAGGTCAGAGTAAGACATTGCTGTCAGTCCCACTTGCAGCCCATACGTCCTCTCCTTACCATATTCCTCCACGCTGAAGAAGTGTTCCACATGGGACGAGAAGCTCTTCTGCACAACTATTTTGTATGAGCCCTGGATGGGGTCTGAGGTGAGGGGGAAGGAGAGCTGCGTAAGGCCAGTCTCTAGTTCCACCCCTTGCCACTGGTACACACGGTTCCTCTGTGGATCCTGCAGGTGAGGATAACTCAAGGTCACAAGGAGTCTCCCAGGGAGAGAGCTGTGGAGTGCCCATAGCACATACATCCCAGCTGGGAAATGTCTACCTGTAATTATTCAACAATCTGTGAGGATCTGTGAGCACTTACCTGTCAATTCTGCATAACTAGCAAGAAAGATTTTTAGCCCCCCTTAGCTCTATCTGCATGTTTACAAAGGATGGGGCCAGGAAGCTGGGAAAGACAGACTGGCAAGGTAACAAGACAAGGAGATAGATAGCAGAAGTAAGTAGAGCACAGGAAGAAAGGAGGAAAGTTTCAGTCTTCTTCACTTGCTATACAGCCTGCTAAAAGGTTTTTTCCATGCCCGGAATAGAGACTGTCTGAGCACCAGTGCATAATACGCAGGGGAATGAGACACCTGGTCTATCTATGGGACTGAGAAATGTACATGTATAAGAGTCCAAAGCTTGTGGTGGAGTAGGGGAGTGGGGACAGGAACAGAGGAAAGTGTATCCTACATATGTGCATCCAGCTGAGAGCTCTCGCTTCTTGTCTTTCCCCTCTCCTACTGCTGAAGCTGAAATCTCATCACTACTAGAGCTGCATATTGCTCATTATGAACTGACTACCAACAGGCTGTGCTCCAAATTCAACAGCTCAGACCCAAATTTCTTGTAGAAGTCACTGAACCAGCACAGTGGTGCTGCTTAATCTGATGCACCCTTCTCAGGCTCCTCAGCAGGATGGTTGATGTTTACAGTCTTTCATTTTCTGCCTGCTTTTTGCATTGTACTTCGGGTGTCAGCAAAAGTCTATTTACTCTAGATAGGTATGCAACTCCAGGTATGTGACTGTGTGCATTTACTTCACTGAGATTTTATCTCAGGGCTTAGGGAAAAGGGGATTGAATGACATCCCCCAGTTGGAGGTCACTGGTCAAGGGGCAGAAGAGGAGGCCTTCTTACCAAGAAGCACATTGGGAGGAAGGCACAGTCAGTAAAACACATCCCATGGCTCTGACCAAATCTTATTCATCATCACTTTTCAACTCTGCTGAAAAGTTCACCACTTATTGTGAGGGACACAATCGTGCTTCCTTGGAAGAGGAATTCAAGAAAATGTTTACAGCTAGGCTTGAGAACTTGTTGTTTCTGTGATGTATTTATAGGGAAGGCCTGAAAGTCAGTTTGTTTGCTTTTCCTCAGAAAGGGTTTTTTTTTAAAAAAAATTGCAGAAGCAATAGTTCAGGATAATAGTTCAGAAATACTAGACTCATACTAACTGCTGCTTTTGTGTTGCTGACTACATTAAGTTAGTGACATTAAGGGTGTGGACTGATGGTCATTTATTTCCTTAGAACTGCTATGGACTGTTTCTGGCCCACGTTCTGCCTCCCCTGTTATGACAACACCCCCAGCTCTAGAGAGAGACAGTGCAGAATGGAGACAGCAAGCAGTAGTGAGGTTACCCTGCTTTATTGGGGGGGCTAGACTAAATGATTTCCAGAGGTCCCTTCCAACTCCTACCAGTCTGTGATTCTGTGGTTTTGTAATGACAGGACCCATAATCATGCAAATTGACTAAAGATTTGTGCACACTGATTTCAACTCTCTTTGTGCTGCTATCATGGCTTCAGGGTCTTTCCCATCAGTTTTCCTTTAGAAAATGTCCCAGATAACAATTGTAAAATATGGTTTCTCAGATGAAAATGAGTACTTGAATCATTGACAGAAACATTCTTCCTATTAACTTTTATCTGTCACTGAAGTTCAACTGTTTAAAAGAAAACAGACAAAAAGGGAGTGCTTGGGAAGACAGGGGACGTCTACTTACATAATTTTGTTTTTTTCAGTTTTGCTAGTTTGTTTAATGCAGTTCTGTGGTTTCAACCACACTTGGCAGACAGAAAATCTTGGTTCTGCTTGGGAAGAGGAATAAGCCATTCTGATATGACCTCTAGGCAAGTGTAATTCTATTCACAGCATGGCTTGCACTGATTAGCTATTTTGTTCCTACAGCACATTCCCCACTCAAAGACCCGTTGTTGGAACTTATTTTGATGTCCAACTACTCTGCCTTCCTTTACACAAAGGAAAAAGGTCATGCACCCATGTTTTTTCCCTTGCACCTTCGCCTGAAATCACCACTGCTGGAGACTACTACCTCTGTGTCTGCACAGCCTGCTGAAATAATAGACATGTAATCATCCACTCACCTGAACATAGACAAATGGGAACTGTGGGAAAAGAACAAAAGAAAATCAGCATTAGAAATACTAGTTATGTATGGACAGAAGTAATTTCCCGATTAGGACTGAAGGGCAGAAGAACAACCTTCTATGAAGTCATTTGGCTTCCTCCTTTTCTGTACTTTCTCTATTTCCTTAGTTCTTGATGGTTAAGGGTATATCTATAATATTTTAGAACCCAAACTTTTTGTCTTACCACAGTATGATAACGTGATGAAGAGTTTTCAAAGAACTTGTCTGCATGTGCAACTGATTGTCAAATAAACTAAAAGGTGGACTTACACCCCTGATCAGTTGCTTGAAACCTAGTCCTTGTCATGCTGCTCTCTCTGCCTCTAAACATGTGGCTACACCCACTGCCAGAAACAACTGCACATCTGTCACAATGGTAATTTGTCCCACTCATTTTTTCAGTAATGCAATCCCTGCTACACGCTTAGCCACATACATGCCTTTGCAAATCTGGTTTTAAACATCTATATCTTTTTGAAAAAGGGGATATGTTTCTCAGTCAATAGAGACAGGTGGAGTGTGTCCCAGGACAGTATATGGAATGGGTCAAGGATGGTGTGAGTAAGAAAGGATCATACGCTTTAAATGCTGTCTTCAGTGGTTCTGGATGGTGGCAATTAATGGTGTTAATTGGGAATTAAGCCTCGTGGTTAACAACAAGGAATTTTGGCTCTACCTTTTCATTCAGTGGGTAGAAGTCTTTGTCCAGTGAGACGATCCGAAACAGAACTGAAGTGTGTAACAGAAAAGAAGGAAATTCCACTGTTAAATTTGTAGCCATTACCAGGAAATGTCAGTATTTCACTAATTTATGATTCAGTTTCATTCTACAGATCAACAGGCTCTGAATTGAGATCTCAAAGTTATGGAAGCAATGACTTCAGGCTCTTTCTCTTGCAGATGGTGAGAGGCAGATAAATTTTGAAGGATAATCAGGTCTTGGCTGAGCTGAATTGTCCCTTGGGAATGCCTGTTGTGCTTTGTTGACTCAGGTGCAGCCAAGGGAGACTATATTTTGGAGTCATTCCAGATTCGTGCCTCTAGTTGAGTAGAATGACTCTGAGCCTGTGCCTACATCTGGCTGAGATGTTGTGCCTGGAGGATGGAGAATAGTAATGATGAAGATACCTCATGCCCTAGATCTCAGCTGACTGAAATAAGATTTACTGAGTACTTTAACTCCCCCTATGAAGAAGTCTAAAAACTTTAATTAAAGTATGGGGCTTCTGGGGAACGAAGCCCATAAGTTTTTCTGCTGTCAGTGTTACCCATACCTGTCTGTCCGGGCTTGTAGATGGGTTTGTCTGTCTGGATGAAAACCAAGCTCTCAGAATTCTGGACCAGCACTGACTTGCGGCTCCTGAACTGCAGTGTCACCCCCTTCACCATCACAGTGAGAAATGCCATTGATGTGCTGTTGGATTTTGGAAGCTAAGGAAAATTAAAAAGATAACTGCTTTACTGATTCATCCCATTGCATTAAGCCTTTGAAAAATGGAGTACTACCTAGGTCCGAAAGTTCCCTAAAGGGACACCAAAGCAAGAATAAAACATGATTTTCTGATATGAACTTAGAGGACTTGTCTTGCCAGTCTCAAGAAAATCTTTTTCCTTCAGGTATTGTTGCAATGATAGATCTTCTCAATTTCTTTGAGTTTTCTCCATGTTGCTTCTTCCTCTCCTTCCAATACTGGAAGCCTTTTCCCCTCTTTCATTTATACACTTTCCTTAGAAAATATTAAATCTGATCTTGTTCCATCCTATGATTTATCAAACTGGAAATCAACCCATATTCATTATTTGGAGGTGGGACCAGTTGCTTACATTACTCACCAACCACCTTTCTACAGGAAACAATAATGAATAATCTCCAGGAGACAAATGACCTCTCAGACCTCACTGTCTTTAACCACTCCCCAACTTCTACAGTTCTCATTCCACTTTGCTTTTTTTTCCTCTGAGGCTTACACAGATCAAAAAATCGTGGGGTATGTTCTCTCAGTCAAAGTTCTAGGATGAAGGACCACAAAAGAGTTCTCTAAGCCCTGCATGCACAGAAATATTATGTGGGACACAGAATTTGACAATGGTGGAAAATAATTCCTCATTAGGCTACCACAGTCAATTTTCCACATCAGATTCATTTTTTGTTTGGTTTAGCTTAGAAGTCTCTGATTGCAACGTACCTTGTTTCTCATTTCTGGACTGTTTAGATCTGCTACACCACATCAATAAACACAAGGGATCATCCTGTGAGGATGAGATACTCACAAAGAAAGGGATACAGGTGAACAAGTCCTTCTCTGATACCACATCATCAATCAAGCTCCTGTTTTCCCCTTGATACTCGAGTGTGGCACTCAGCGTCACAGACTCATTCAGGTGGGTCAGCTGAACACAGACTTTCTCAGGAGAATCAGTGTGTATCAGAAAAGGCAGTAGCACCATATACTGCCTAGGAAGAGAGGGAAGCAAAATCAGAAGGATCAGAAATGTGAAACAGTTTTAAGGAAAGAGTATTAAGTGAAAGGAAATTAACAAATCAGCATGCCTAATCCATTACTGTCCCTGTGAATTGCAGCGCATATACACATGATTATTCATTTTATTTTGGGTTTATACACATTGAACTGCCTAACTAATTAGCATAAAAGCAGGCAAATGCTTATAGAGGAAGGAACAATTTCTATGCTAATAAGGAGTCCTTTACAAAAGATGTTTTGTTCAGCTTCACAGCAGGGAGTAAGGATGGTGTGAAAGGTGCCAGGCTGTTGATAGATTTTTGTATATCCCACAATCTCCTATTGAGACGCAAAGCTAAAAAAGGTTGAAAATTCAGCAGGTTTAGGGTTGAAAAAACTACTGACTTGTCTGTCTGATCCTGTATTTTGCTATCCGAGTTTCCAAATCCTCCTCATGCTGAGTGAAAATGTGAGTGCTTGCAGTTTGGGACCTTATTAAGATGAGCACACAAAGGAATTCAGAGAGTAACTTTTTATTGCAACACAAATCCACTTGTGTCTTCAAAGAGCTTTTGACCCTCACAAGTGCCCTCACAAAAGACTCTTAAACTAGAGTGCCATCCAATAAAAGGGATTGTTTTACTAATTTTTTACTAATAAATCAAATTATTAATTCTGACCTGGATTAATTGGTTAAAAGATAGAACACAGAGGGTAGGAACCAGTGAAAATCTCCAGTCTGCATTGGGACCCCTGTTGTTCAGTACACTTCTAAATGACCTCGGAAATACAATTTTCTGATAATTGTCTAGGGTGGGAAAATACCTAAAACTGACTTACATATTTGTGGAAAACTTTTATCATATGGCGCGATTGTGTAGCAAAAATGGCAAATGAACTGTTCATAAAGGGAAAATAATCAATAGAGGAAGAAAAAAATTACCCCAATAGTATATAAGCTATTGTGTATATGCTGTATCACTGAGTGGGTTAATACCACTCAGACATGAGCGTTGTTCATCACTCTTGGAAAATTCTCATTCACTGATAAGTAACAAATGGGCTGGAGGGAAGTGTTCAGAAAGCAACAGAGGAGAAATCAGAACACATTGTTTTGCTGTTGTATAATTGCAAGGTATTTCCACATCTCACATGTGGCATGCATTTAAAAAGATTTAGCAGAAAAGATTCAGTGAAAGATGGCAGAGATTATCTGAAATCTGGAATGATTTCCATAGGAAGAGACACTACATAGAGTAAGACTCTTCAGTTTGGAAAAAGGCATGACAGAAAGCTATGAAGTCAAGATGTGCACAAAAGAAAGTATGGCTTGTTCATCACTTGTAACAACATGTGCAATACACACCAGGTGAAAATATTAAGCATCTGGCTTAAAACCAGAAAGGAGGAGAAACTTTTTCACTAATGTGCAAAATTAAACTGAGGAACCTAATGCTACCAGGTGCTGCAAAATCCAAACGCACAATTCTAGTATGGCCAGCCTATGGCTCCTGAGCCTTCTAGTGCTCTCAAGCAGTGATAGACAGCAGCCGACTGTCCTTCCCTGGGTGAGGAACAAAAGAGGCCAGCAGATGCCACTGAGTTGGGTAATTAGGGCCTTAATTCAGCCAAATGCAGGCCCTTAAAAGAAGCTGTCACTCCTCACCTGCTAGAAACTCTCCAAGGTATACCATGTCTGCCCTGTGGCACCAGCTACATAATATTTGGTATGAGGCTCATAAGGGGCAAGATCAGCTACTCCTGATATGAAGGTTATTAAAAATGTCCTAGGTAAATTCATTGCCCAGAAGTGGCTAGAAAGCAGCTAGAAAGTGTAATCCCTGCCACACTAAGACCTTGAACCTCTGGTAGAAGTTCCATAAGGCTACAACAGATGGGAAACTCATTTCTACAGTACTTGCCTTGCTCCTCTCTGTGTCCCTCAGCACCTACAACTGACCACCAATGCAGACAGAATACAGAGCCAATTTAATCCTTTGGTCTGATGCTGGACCATTTTTATGAGTCTGGTATTCCTTTTTTCCCTGTGCACATTCACAGCCAGATGCAGCAGCAGGAGGTTCTGGTGGCAATTCTGTCTGCAGGGTATATTAATCACTGTATGCATGGGATGAAATCTGTGGTCAGGATTGCTCATACCACTTTTCCATGGGCTTCGACTGGGGAAGGCTAATGTACACCTTGCCAGATGGTGCCAGCCTTGGAGAAAAAGATAGTTGGGCCCATCCAGAGATACATTATTGCCTGAGCTCTGAGCTTCTGGGAAATCCTAAAGCTACTGTGGAGGCAATGGGACCCAGGCAGTACCTTCACTTCCCTCACCACCAGGCAACTGGATAAAGTGTGGCAAGGAGCCAGACGGCAACTCTGATCAGTCCGTGCTGCTGCAGAAGCAATGACAGGAGGGAGCTCCAGCCACCCAGGGAGTGACTTACAGCTTGTGACTATCGGCTTGCTCCAGTGCTCCCCTTCCTCCACAGCCTTCTCACCACAGCTTCACTGCATGCCTGCTTCCCCTAATTTCATTTCCCCTGCCCCCCATCAGCGGCACTGGCAATGACTCTAACATCCAGTGTATGGAAGGGACACTGTGACCTAGTTCATGGGGAATTTGGCCTCATTCCTCTTCCTGTTCACTGTTCTGCTGAAACTCTGGCCAACACGCAGAACTTCCACCTACGCCAGCTTCCCTGCCTGTAAAGGGTCTGC